GGTAGATCTCCGACCGGTGAGAGTGGGATCTAGAACAACTACCCGACCTACTTGGTGACTGGATCGGATAGGCTGAAAATGCTTCAAATCAGCGTGAAGGGGTAGCAAGGTTGGGGAACGTGTCATTGCACTTTGAGCAATTCTTCCAAATCACTGATGAGCAATGAGTCGTCCCTTGGCAAGATAGAATGGAGGTCAGAGAAGGGGACGAATCTATGAGAGAGCCGAACGCTACCGGTCGAGGTGAAGCCAAGAGGCTGCGCGAGTCTCGACGTCGCATCAAAGCTGCAGTAAACAGAGTACTGCCTCGATATGTACCAACAACGAAGACGTGACATGTTGCCATATCTGATGTGTGTTTAGCTGTTGATCAAAATCATTCGATATCACTTGACAATTACGGATTCATGTCATTAGTATGTGTTGCAGACATCGAGGTATGTATGCACGTACGTACATAATTAGAACAATGAACACCACTCCTGAGTCTTGTTTGCCCCGGGCAAGAGGCTTTTCGACCATGGCAATGGGCCAGCGTAGCCCTCCCCTAGCGATGTAAGCGAGAGTCTTTCTCTTGGAAAGACACCCTCCACACCCATTCTTTTTGGTAAATGTAACCAGCACCTTGACACGTGTGAGCTGGAAGGATATCAAAGGGTAGATTGCATTCCTTCGAGCCGATAGACAAGAGACCATTCCACATTGATGCATGCCAATAGCACGTCAACATCGCGACCATAGGCGCCTTGGCGCGCAAGACATCTTTATTCTGCCAACGGTCCAGACTTTGGGGTCCCCGAGGGCTTGCAGAGACTCGCTTGTGTTACAACGCCTCGTAGCACCGACCAGATCGGCGGTGAAACTTGAGCAGTATTGTCCCATTGGCAGTCGGCCCTGCTCGGGCTTCCGCGCAAACTTCCTTTCATCTCGAGGCTCTTAGTGCCTGTCTCATTCCCTTTACCGAAAAGCCCCGCGCCCTGTTTGCTCTCTGGAATCCATCGAGAGGCGCGGGGCGGGAGCACCAGCTAACAATACTTCTTTCTCATCCATTGCCTAGCTTGGTAGACACAATAGATGTTTGGGGGAGCTCATATCTACAGGAATTTGCATCGTGTAACTACTCGTTCTTTCAAACTTTGTTCTATGCAATGACAATGAAGAACCGTTGTGAAGCCCACGGCAAGTGTCGTGAGCGATTGGACAGTTTACGGCGTCAAGCATATGAGCGCCGCCGGCTACTTTGCTTCATAATGGCAATCGCCCAGTCATGAAGTTTCAGTCTTGATCGAAACAACCAGAATTCAGATGCACACATCCTTCCTCCAATTGCAATATGTTGTCCATAATCGTCGCGATTTTCGCTACTCTTACCGCTGCGCAAAGCACACCCTGGCCCACATTCGGCAACTGGACCGAGGAATTCGACGGTCACCCATACATCCTCTCAGGCCCAAAGACCCTAGGAAAGAAAATCGACTTCGAACTCGAGCGATGTCACTTCGTCCTCAAACTACTCAACGAGCGCACAAACATCCCAAACAGCCAGATCCCGCTCCCAACCCCAGGCTCCCTCTGTATGGACATCCTCGCCAAACGGAAAACTTCCATCGGCGACCGGGGCTTTCTCGAGCTCTTCTCCAAAGATATTGAAGATGCCAAACAGTTCTGGTATGGCGTCAACTCCAATTCCACGCTACAGGACCCAGCCACGTGGAAATCGGTCGAGTGTCGTGCCCTTGTACCACTTCCCAATGTCAACGCCTGGGCCTTTTCGACGTGGTCTGCCTCACCTCTTGCAGATGCTGCTAATAATCGCGGCAACGCGGAGCACTACTTCAAGAAGTCTACTTACGCTGGAGGAGGAGCGACTGGCACATCGCGGATTCTGGAGAGCTGGGGCGGGGTGGTGACCAACTTTAGTATTCCCAACTACAGCCCACGAACGTGTGCGGAGAGACCGATGGTGCGACTGCTACCCGAGTTTCGACTCAAGGCTTGCGGTGACAAGAATCTTATCGACGGCAAAAATACCCGATTTGGGGTGTTGAATATTGCCGTGAGGGATATCAGTGTGGCTGGGAAAAGGTATCTTGATATCTATGCCTCCGTGTGGTATGGCAGCGCTATCCCGGAGGAGCACCTTGAGGCAGAGAGGCAACATATCATTATTGAGATTGTCAACTTGAGTTTGAAAGCTGAGGAAGATGTGCAGAGTGGGATGTTCAGAGTTCCGGCGCCTTCAGGATCTTGAGATCTGCGCTCGGGAGGGTAACGAAGTACTCGAGCATAGTGTCTTTGTAGTCTCAACTAGAGAGATCGTTATAAAGTTGTGAACACTTAGTATGCGGCGATTTTCTTAAATGCTATGCGAGTCATCATCCTTGAGGCCGAGTTACGGTGGTGCAAATCCTGATTATCCCAAACTTCGCCATGGTCCTCGGCCCAATGTCCAACGTACATATCAGCCCCAACAGACCCGCCCGAAGCAGCTCCATCGGCTCAGAAGTGATGTGCGGCAACATCGGTAGCATCATCTCCACCTAGTCATACTTGCCATAGGGCTCAGGAAACTATCGCGTCGGTAACAGTCTCGACCTAGACGCGGCCAGCATGACCTTCGTTATCTTCATGGTATAGTTCCAGACGAATAGGATACATGAAATAAGCGTTGCGAGGACCGTAGTATTGTGGAGGACTCAGTGGGCATGTAGGTGGAGGAGACCCAGTGCCTGGAATGGAAGCAATCTGCTTCCAGATGGAGGACTTGAAATGACTTGATAGAAAGCATGGGCGAGACGGAAGCGGCGAGCGGCGAAGGAGCTGATGGGACACTGTCATGGATGATGCATGAATGTGATCAATAGAGATCTGGTACATAAATGCCTGCCTGACCCATGGCTCAAGTCTTCCTGTCTGATGTGGCTTCGTTGTGGATGTTCCTCAGTGCCTCGTTGTCTGCTGAAAGTGTGTGTGCTATTGTGACTGCCAACAATATAACAATGAACCACACTTATCAACCCCAGTAGCCTTACTTGGATAACCATCCACAATTGTTGCGCATTTTATTCGGTTTGTTCCAACTCGACCCCCTTATTCGCACCTCTGAGCCGATCAACGTTTCCTGGACTTGCGACGTGCTTTTCCGGAAGACGCCACCTTCCTTGCCAACATGCTCAATGATGATCCATCATCCCAGGGACCCTGGCCGCCTTTCTCGAAGCTGAAAAAACCAAGACTGATCATGAATCTCAAGGCGTGGACGGGTGACCAACAAAGTCTGTTCGGCGGCAAGAAGGCAGGGATTGGCGCTTGGCATGCACAAGAACTGGGTCCAGCTGGGCATTGCTTCGGGGTGGGTGGGAGTCGTTCCCGCCACTCATGTCGTTCCGCGTATGAGGAATAAGCAGGCTGTGTGATGATCACGGCGGCTAACTCAAGGTCAGAGGAGTGAAAGCAGACACGATGTACCATCGCAAGTTTGACCTCAAAGCTCTATTATTATGGAGGAGGAGCTGAAAACGCCAGACATGTTGTAATCGTTTCGTCAAAAAATAGGGCGGGCTGACGGGCGCTGCATGCATATGCAGTCACCAGTGGTACACGTGAACGGCTAGAGCCGCAGGGAGGATCCTTATCTCGTCGCTGTTGCGAGGCTGTCCGCAGAACCCCGCGTTTTTCCAGAACTTTGACACAACTCTTCCTTGAGCATACTCGATTTCCTCGGGCTTTGCTAGTGGCATCAGACAAGGTGCATGCTTTCCAGAGGATACGTCGTTCGCGAGCATCTTCATCTCGGGTTCATACAAGAGAGGTCTCTCCGACACATATTTCATGCAGATGAATGTCACGAAGTCCAGCGCGGCATCCGCGGGCGGAGATGGGATGAGTGAAGCTGAGGACAAAGAATCGTACACCGTCGGGTGGATTTGTGCTCTCCCTCTGGAGATGGCCGCCGCAGAACTCATGCTCGACGAAATTTACGACGACGTTCAATTCGAGCAGGATGATGGTGACCACAACAGCTACACTCTAGGTCTAATACAAGGCCATAGAGTGGTCATCGCCTGTCTGCCAAATGGTGTTTACGGAACAAACCCGGCCGCCACAGTTGCTAAAGACATGCTCCGGACTTTCAAATCTATTCGATTCGGTCTACTCGTCGGGATCGGAGGCGGAGCGCCCTCGCCAGGTCATGATATCCGACTTGGCGATATCGTCGTTAGCAAGCCTACTGGCACCAGTGGAGGTGTCATCCAGTATGACCGGGGGAAAAAAAGAAAGCTTGAGGAGTTTGAGCGAACAGGCTCGCTTAATGCGCCGCCCACGGCGCTTCTGACAGCTCTAAGCAGCCTCCAAGCTCGTCACTTACGCGGTGCCAGCAAGACCCCTGGGTTCCTTTCCGAGGCGGTGGAAAAGATCCGAAAAGCTTCATTTCGACAAAAGTATACTTATCAAGGCAAATCTAACGACCGCTTGTTCCAAACAGAGTACGAGCATGTCAACGCCGGCTCTAGCTGCAACGATTGCTATGGCTGCGATGATTCGCAAATTGTGCAGCGGATCGATAGAGACGACGATGACCCAGTGGTTCACTACGGTAACATCGCCTCGGCAAACCAAGTCGTGGAGAATAGCGAGACCAGAGACCGGCTGAGCAAGGAGCTTGGGGTGATTTGCTTTGAGATGGAGGCGGCAGGACTGATGCAAGACTTTCCCTGCCTGGTGATTCGTGGCATCTGCGACTATTCAGACAGTCACAAGAACAAAAAATGGCAGGATTACGCCGCTGCAACCGCGGCGGCATATGCGAAGGATCTTCTATCAAGAGTGCTTCCCAGCAACGTCAAGAAGGAGAAGCTCATAGCTTTTGGCAAGTAGCCCTGTTCCTTGATATAAGTCAGAGAATTATGTGATAAAAAGATCAACATGATTAAAACACACATAACAATCTCTCTTGAAAGAGTACGGCCTTGTTAATAAATGACATTCTAGATCCTCAAATGCATGCCCTGCTTGGTGAAACGAGAGAGGCCATATCGCACCAAACAAAACAACAAGAGAGGCGCCATGAAGATGGCAAGAGTGAAGAATGTCTTCGCGAACTCTTCCAGACGAACCCAAAAGATGATAGGGAACGAATAATTCGTAGAAAGGATAACACTCCTACACTTTTCAAATCATCATACGAATGGATCCTAGATGTTGAGGAATTCCGACGCTGGCGGACCGACCCTGAAAGCCGCCGGCTCTGGCTCAGAGGGGACCCAGGCAAGGGAAAAACGATGCTTCTTTGTGGTATCATTGAAGAGCTGGAAAAAAGCGATCCGCGTCCGCTATGCTACTTTTTCTGCCAAGCTACAGTGCCAGCGTTGGATAACGCAACGTCCGTCCTTCGGTCACTAGTTCTTCAACTGGCTCAGAAGTATCCCTGGCTCCGAAACCAGGTCTTGGCTGAGTATGAGAAGGGTGGAAAAGCTCCTTTCAATGATCACAACGCTTGGGGCACTATGTATGAGCTGCTCAATTCTATGCTCAGTGACCCACAATTGGATGGCGTTTTGTTGATTGTGGATGCGCTCGACGAATGCACGACAGATCGTCCCAAGCTGCTTCAGTTCATCAAGAACATCTCGACAATTTCCCGCGCTAAAGTCATTATCTCGAGTCGAAAGTGGACCGAGATTGACGAGGTGCTCGGCGAGGACGACACAAACGGTTGTACTATTACCCTCGAATTACACGACGATCTTATCTCTAAAGCGGTCCACTCGTACATCGACTGAGAAGTTGAACAGCTGGCTAGCCGCAAAAAGCTCAACGAAATAATCTGCTCGAAAATCCGAGTATACCTGAGGAATCAATCACAGGATACGTTTCTCTGGGTCTCCTTAGTGTGTCAAGCTTTACTTGATGGCAATGTCAAGAAGCGTCACGTCATGATGGTGCTTGAGACATTTCCGCCTGGACTTAACGGGTTTTACGAGCGAATGATCAACTCCTTGCCCTCCCTAGAGGAAGACTTGTGTAAAGAGATACTGTCAGTCGTGTCGATCCTTAAAAGACCCGTCACGATCGAGGAACTTCTTCCTCTACTCCATTCATATTTCAGTGATAATATGGAAACTTTGGAGGAAGTCATCCAGTCATGTGGGTCTTTCTTGAAAATCCAAGCAGGAAAGATCTACTTTGTGCATCAGTCGGCTGTGGAATTTCTGAAAAGTAGTGCGTCAAAACTTTCCACTATTGCAGAGAGACATAAGTCCGTTTTTTGGAGCTCTATGGATGTCCTCAACAGACCTGGTTATCTGAAACGAGACATCTATGGTTTGAAAGAGCCCAGCACAGACATGGCGGAAATCCATATCCCTGAACCCAATCCTTTGTGTGCTTTGCAGTACTCCTGCACATATTGGGTAGACCACTTGGCTGATTGGGTCTGTGAGAAAAGGATCGTAATGGGAGAGCCATTGCCACAAGAGGAATGTGTCATTCTCGAGGTTAGCAGCTTCCTCAGGAGAAAGTTTCTCAATTGGATAGAGGCACTTAGCCTCCTTCGCCAGATGCAAGGGGCAATACAAGCCATCCAAAAGCTTCAGGTTCTGTTCGTAAGTCGAACTTCGTTATGTTAGTAGATAACGTTTAATGATTAACAACAGTTCAGAACCAAAGCCCTGGCTCAATCGAACAAGGTCTATCAGCTTTTATTCATGACGCCAATCGATTTCTACTCTATCACAAAGTGATAATCGAAAAGACCCCTTTGCAACTCTATGCTTCAGCTCTGTTATTTAGCCCTAAACAAAGCGTTGTGAAAGCACAGTTTCGGGACGAGGCCCCTGACTGGGTTACGATTACGCCTGGCCTAGAAACTACGTGGAGTGCGTGTTTGCAGACGCTATACTATGATTTAGAGCGTTGTATTGGCGCTTGCTCCGTCGCCTACTCCCCCGATGGGGAATGGCTTGTCACTCTTTATTTCGACGGCACCGTGAAGCTTTGGCATGCGAAGAGCGGCACCTGCACGCACACAGTCAGTCTCCACGGCGGGGAGCATTTAAAATACAGCATGAGCATGGTATCATTCGAATCAAAGTCGGTGGCTTTTTCAGCAGACGGCAAGTCATTTGTATCAAGCTCCTGCAACGGTGACGTGAAGGTCTGGGACAGAGACACAGGCCGTTGCACCTACCAGATTGAACCACATCCATCTTTGGCCACCGAAATGGCCATCTCGTCAGATGGGTCCACGGTTGCATTGTATGATCGAGGTCGTATCGTCATTCGGAGTACGAAAGGAGAATTTTCTACTCGCACCATCGAGTGTCATCCTCAACAGGGTGAAGTTCACTCCATAGCGTTGAACGCAAATGGCCAGTGGATCGCTTTAGGATCAACAAATCATCTACTCGAGATTTTCGATGTATCGACGGGGGGGTGCCAACAGATATCCACGGATCACAACGAAGTTACTGTGGCTTGGTCGCCGGATGGAGCCTGGGTTGTGTCCGGTGGCGCCCTAAACCCTCGAATGAACTTCATCGTACAGATCTGGGAAAGAAGAACTGGCAAGTCAATTTTGAGACTCAAACATGAGGCACCAAGCGACCCAGGGTACGAAGACATTCCCACGTACATGAATCTATCGGCCGACAAAAGGTTCTTAGCAGCTGGCTCTCGATGCGACATATGTGTGTGGAACACGTCGACTGGTGCTTTGACGTGGGCGATGTACGGTTCCGACCTAAAATACATCAACTCGATTTCTTTTTCCCCAGACGCTCAGCGAGTCGTTTCGGCGTCCTATCCATCAACGATCAAAGTCTGGGACCTATCAATAATGGCAGACTCCATATCCCACCGGCCAAGTCCAAGCACGGGACAAGTGATCTTTACTGATGACGATCGCTTCCTGGCATATGACCTCCTAATGGACAAAATCAGACTTTATGACAGACGAGCCGACATGCCAGATTCAACGTTCTATGAGGAGTCTGTGTGTACTATCGCACTATCTCAAGAAGGCCAGCGACTTGCGTTAGCTTCTTTTGATAAGACCACGATCACAATTTGGAACACAAGTACCCGTGCGATTACATTGAAGATCTGTGGTCGCACAGAGCATATTTGCTTTGATGCCCGTGGTTCTGAAGAGAGCGTTTGCCAACGAAGACATTGGAACAATGAAATAGCTGCTGACGTCTACTTGGACGAGGTTTCCAGAAGAAGAAACGGGCCAAAGAGAATTGCATGTTTGGCCTTTGGGAATGCTTCCCAGCTTGCTTCAAGTTTGGGGGGGTTGATAAAGATCTGGAACACATCGAACGGCAGGTGCTCGCAGACCATTGACTCTGGCTGCAGCTATGCTACGAATATGACCTTTTCGAGTCAAGGCCAACGACTTGCTTTCCTAGCGTATGACGATGAACGCATGTGGGGAGGCTATGATGTCATCATTCAAGTCTGGGACGTCGCCACAAAACAATGCATCTCAACGCTTTCCTGGGAAGAAACTTCAACACTTTCTACCCGATCATCTCTGAGCTTCTCAGGAGAGCAACAGCTTGTGTCCTGTGAAAACAAATGGACAAAAGATGGTCTACGTCTCGCAGTAATTTGTTTATGGAACCTGAGGTCTGATTCTATTATTACACGCACGTTCACAAGCGACAAAATTAGTTTCGTCCACGCAAGGTTTGACACCAGATTGGCAAATCGTTTACACACTGCGTACGGCTTTTTCGACACCCGTGAACTTTTGAGCACAAGTAGCTCAAGTTGTATCCACGCCGGTTCTAGAATCTCAAAAAAAGACTTCGAGTATACACCAGATTCAGAGAGCGCGGAAGCAATGCCCCCTTTCCGCGGCTATGGTTTTAGCTACGATCGAGAATGGATTATGCGTGACGGGAAACGTTTGTTGTGGATTCCTCCAGATTTTAGACCCTCAGATGAACCTGGCGATATCACTCCCGGTATGAATGGATCGAGTATCATGTGGCTGAGAGACTCACGAGAGCCAGTACGAATGTACTTTACAGAATAACGCTAGATTACTTGTTAGAAGGAATTGCCCAGAAAAGCACCTGAGTTCATGATAGAAGAAAGTAGAGATTGCTTCCACTTATTCTGCTCACCCCGATCGCTTTGAGGTAATTCTACCGTCCCCAAGGGGGCGGATGATCTGGCTACTTTATGTTGCTAGCTCCAGGATCTCCAGATTCTTCAGACCTAAAAACCTCGCACGGCGTGACTCATCAACAACCTCCTATGTGATGAACACATATAATTAAGTAACAAAGAAGGTGCAGCGACAAAGAATGAATCGTAACACTCCGCCTTTGTCCATTTCTTGTTTAATTTAATTACCAATATGACGTCCCGAGACCGAGCACCAGCGGTGATCCAGCGCCGTCCCCTAAACACTTCACCATCAGCCCGCCTAAACTCCTAGAACCACCACGCATTAGCTCCATGGCTCGAAGAGACGGGCTACTTGCCTCCTTCGTACCTAGACCGGAGAGAGAAAGAGATCGCACCATTCAACATGGGTCGCTGGTTGACGCCGCATATTCAGGAGTGCATGCTTAATCCACCTGCAGCAATCCACCACTTCACCAAAGCTGAAGTCCGCCGACTTCTAGAAATTGCAGCTGGACTAAATCATAATTTGGCGAAAGCTGAGAGGAGTCAATCTCTGAGTGGACTGGCAGCAGAGAGGGAGCAAAAACCTAAGAGTCTCCAGGACGCCACATCGGCTGGGTACTTCATTCGTATAAGTCACTGCAGCCCCAAAGACGCTGATGGAGGAAATCTTCAGCCTGTTAACAACATGCGCGAAGCACTCGTGAAGCTTGTTTCTTCGAAGCGGACCGTCCAGGCACTTTTGAGTCTGTTCTATCGACTTAGTCAGGACACGAAATCCCCGGATAACCAGCTCTACTTCTTCCCATATTACGCCCACCTCGACCGCTTGAGCGAGTGGCGATGCTACGTCAATGAAGGCCACATCGTCGCCATCAGCCAGAGCAGGTTCTATCAGCCAAATCACGTCGGTATCACAGATGAGATGCTGGGTAGGCTGGCATCTCAAGCGCGGCACCTCTGGTCACGAATCGCACCTGATCTGAACTTCAAGAGCTGCATCCTAGATGTCTACGCAGAGGTCCTCGATCCCGAGTTCGAGGTCAAGCTCATTGAGATTAACCCCTGGGGAGCTCACTCCGGCTCAGGCAGTTTACTCTTTCACTGGCTCGATGACGCGGAAATCCTTGATCCTCAACAGCACGACAGCACGACTATGATAAGACTCGTAGAAGCAGGCGAGGCGAAAGCCCTCACGCGCGATGAGGCGTTTCAGATTGGTCGGGGTGGGATTATTGAGGACGAGCTGCGATGTTTGAGGGAGAGAGGGCTTGAGTGGGTTCTGGAGGATGATAGACATGCTGAATTTATGGCTTTACCTGTGCCGGATGGGCAGTCTGGGCTTACGACGAGGAAAGATGGTCTTGAGATGTTTCGGAAAGGATTAGATGGGGAGGTCACGGGGGTCAGGTCGAGGAATCACCCGCGATTCCTCAAGTTGAAAAGGGCATATGAAGCTAGCCGTTGAGTTTAGCACCAAGGCTAGGGGCGTTTGACTGTGTCTAATCTTCGAGGCCAAAAGTTGTCGTTTTCAGATCTTGAGGAATCTGGAATCATGGATGAGGTATAGGTGTGCAGCATAATGAGAAACTCAATTCCGGTCTTCTGAAGGTATCTGTCTATCTCAGTCGTCTCAACGACTCTCAATATCACCCGATTGCCCCAGAGTATTCGAATTCTCCAAATCGTTTCTCGCTCTCATCCCGTGTGTATAAAGTTCTCAAAGTAGTCTGATTGCACGCTGTGTTCAACTGTCAGTCTCTGAACAAGGTGAAAGATGAAATAAACTCACAGCAGAAAGTGCGATCAACCGGGTTCTAATTTCGCTCGGCCGGGAAGCCAAGTGCCTGCTCGATGCCTTGTGCCGAACTGGCTACTGAGACCTCGTCCTTCGGGGCGTTGAGACCACCGTTAACGTGTTCATTGGCGACTGGGGCCTGCCCAACAAAGTCCTCGTAGGACTTGTAACCTTGGAGCAAAGTTACAAGACCCGTGGAATTGGGGTCATGGCTATGGCCAGTCTCAAGGTCATAAGGCGAAGGGATTCCAGCCATCGGGTGGCCTTTGATCACCTCGTTCTTCTTGAAGTAGTCCCAATACGCGCGGAACGCCTTCTCGGTTGTGGGGGTTCCCGAGGCGCTGGCGAGCTTGAAGTATTCAATGACGGCAGTGAGATGGGCGGGCTCGATCTGCTTTCCGCAAACCTGCATCAGGTGGAAACTGGAGGAATGTTTTAGATCAACCACCTGAAGCTGAGCCTTGCGCATGCCGGTGTTCTGAGGTGCCTCCTAAGCAACCAGAAGGACGGTTTGACGAAAGTGGTTGAGGATCTCCTCATGGTCCTCATGGAGCTCCCCCGTTGGAGCAATCGCGATGGGAACTCCAGTTCGGACATACCAACGAAGACCAAGGTGGAAAAGCTTTCCGATGGGGAAGGCTTCAAAATACTGGTGTGAAGCAGGGACGTGGACCTTCTCGATTTGGCGGGTGACGCCCAGAGCCTCCAGCCAACGATCCGAGAGATCGTTGATCTTGAGAGCCGGGATGACACCGCCCTCAAGGATGAATCGACTGGGCTGAGAGACAGCCGGGTTTACCGAATTGAGAACGTGACAGTCCAGAGCGTGGCGAAGGTCGCGCACGCCCAAGTCGCGGGGTGACTTGAAGGCTCCGTTGGACTCGAGATCGTATGCCCAGACAACCACAGCGCCGAAGTAACAGGCCAGAAAGCCAGGCTTGCCAAAGCTCTGGATGCAGCTATTGAGGTTACCGGGAGAAGTATCCTTGTACGAACCGAACTTAATGGCGTCAACTCCGTGAAGTAGGCTCTTCTGGATGGGAGTCGCGATCGAGTTCAGACCGACGTGAATGATGTCAGGGTCGGAGCTATCGTTGGACTTGGCAGCCGCCTTCGCAATGGTGATCTCGTCGGTAGCAAAACTCATCTTGCCAGTCTTGCGGTCCATCTGAAGAGAGATCCAGATGGCCTTTGGGTCCGTTCCATCGACAGGAAGGAGCGCCGCTAGGTAGTGATTTTCGGATGGCCGACTCTCCAACGGAAGGCTGAAGGCAGGCTTGGTCTTGGCATCTTGACGTCCAACACAGAGCCGCTGATGGAGGTCGTCAGCCTCGAGGCACTGGGCTGAGCAGTACCTGGCCGCCTTGCAGTGGCAGCGGTACTTCCGGGTGGAAGGGTTGCCGCAGGCCAGGCACTGCTCGACCTCCTGTCGCTCCTGGTGGTTCTTGCAGCTGGCATAAGTGTTGGGATCGTGGAGAGCCCAGTTGCTTCCTTCACTGCCCTTCCCTGCCATCGAGTATTGCTCAATGGGGGGCAGAAGGATGGTGAAGGTGACCACCGGCTCCCACAGAGATTGGCCGTGAGAAGATGACATGCTGAAGGGATAAGGCAGTCAGTATATGAAAGAGAATTGGATGAGAGAGGGACAGCAATGATCACTTACGTTGATCGGTCAGATCGCTGAAGGCTTTTGTAGTGATTAATAGATAGAATTCCGGAGACAATGATTGATAGAAGCGATCTGGTATGGGGGATGAAGTGAGATGATCAAGAACCGGTTGGCATCAAGAGAAAGGGAGGTAGGATGATGAAGGTATGGGTCGATTGAGTCGAAAATTGAGGTCGACAAGAAAGACGAGAGGATGGAAGAAAAGGTGAGAAGGTGAGGGTGGGAAGACGAGATTGGGGGTATAGGTGGGAAAGGTGGAAGTTCAAAGGAATCGGGTGGTGAGAAAGGAAAGCCCTAAATCTGGAAGCAAGAGCGAGAGATGACCGTTCCAAAGGCAAGATCGATCTTGAGGCAGGAAAAAAATAACAAAAGAGGAGAACACAGCGGTGAAGGAGTATTCACATTATATTCATTATATCATATGGTCACGTGCGATATCCATAGCCAAAGCCACAGTAACTTCGATCGCTATTTGTTTCCTCAATCCTTAGGCGGTCTAAACAATCTTGTAGACCAGCTTCTCAGCACTCACACCACCCTTGGCCTGCAACTCAAAGCCCTTGTTGATATCATCCAGACCACCAAACTCCTTTTGCGGGTTGGGCTTGATGGAGCCATCCTCCAACCACTTGGGCAGAAGCCCCAGATACTTCTCCCAGAACTTCTTGTCCTCAGGCTTCTCTCCATCAATGTTATCGAAGCTTCCATACGTAAGAGCCCTTCCAAAGACCGAGTAAACCAATGTGCTCTCGACCTTGACTCCCTCAGGAGCGCCAACCTCCTTCGCCTTGCGCGGCAAAATACAGACGACGTGACCACCCTCGGGTGAGAGCGCCGTCGCGACTGCCTTCGTGGTCTCGACTTCGCTGATGGCGTCAAAGACGTGCTTGAGGTTATTCTTCGCAGCCTTCTTGACCTGCTCAATCCAGTCGGCATCGCGGTAATCAATCGCCACGTCCGCACCGAGGCTCTTCAGGAGCTCGTGATTCTTCTTGCCGCCCGTCGCGATGACATACAGCCCAGCCTTCTTCGCCAGCTGGATGGCATACAATCCTACGCTACCCGTTCCGCCGTTGATTAACACCGGAAGCGCCTCCTTGCTCGGGCTCGTGGGCTCAGGAAGTTCAAGTCGCTGGAACAGCGCCTGAACAGCGGTAGCAAAGGCCAACGGAATAACCGCGGCCTGGGAATCCGTGACGGACTCAGGGATGGGGAAGACGAGGCTGCTCTCGATGACGGCGTACTGCGCAAAGACGCCGCGGGGAGGTTCGTCGCTGGTTCCCATAACGAACCCTGCGACGCGCTGGCCTTCTTTCAGGGAGGAGCCGTTGGGGTCTGCGACGGTGCCGGCAAAGTCGCAGCCGACGGTGCGGCCTGCGGGGGCGCCGGCTGTGGCTTTCCAGTCTGTTGGGTTTTGGGCTACGGCGGAGATTTTGACGAGAATTTCGCCTGGGCCGGGTTGAGGCTTAGGGACCTGTCATGGTGGTTAGTGACGAGCAGGAGGACAAGTTGAGGGGCATCTGAATGACATCATGTACCTCTTGGACTTTGGCGGTCTTGTCGCCTTGAGAGACGAGAGCTCGGATGGTGCCTGCCATTGTTGCTGTGTAGGATATCGGTCTCAATTGGGTGTTTGGGGGAGTTGTGGTTGAGAATGGAGACAGGAGACGACGTTGTTGAGAGTGTTTCTCAGAGTGGTATTCTCGCGATGAATGACGGAATGAAGACGAATTTAAGTCGAGAGAAAGAGACGTTGAAACAACACGTGGGATTAGTAACCTGGTATTCAAGCTGTTGCTGAGAAATCGCGTGCTCAAGTGGGTAGACGCCATGGACGAGAACAAAGGTTGGTCAAGTTAAGGTACCCGTGTGTGGGCTTGGAATTGCGCTTAGAAACAATGCGACTTTGCAAAATCCCCCAGTGAATCGCATCTGCCCCACGAAGTTATTTCCGCGGACGAACAACCTTGGTCACTGAAGCCTTTAAGGTGTGTAGATAGGGAGCTATACGCATTGCCGGGGCGCACAGACTTTCAGTATTAGTCACCAAGGGGCTGTTTCTGCTTAGAAATATAGCCGGATATAGCAAGGGAATTCCCCAACAAGAAACAAACTTTGTCAAAGTTCAATTGAGCTAGGTATTGAAACATAGTCTGCCTACTACGTATGTATTCTTTCGTGGAATGGTGCTCGAGCTGAACTTGAGCTACATAAGAGGATGATGAGGGTATTCTCAACTTTTCTACAGTCTCTATGAAATGTGCTGTGACCAAGCCCTTGACCAACGAAATTCTGAGTAGCTTAGTTAAACCTTTGTGCGACACATTGTCATGGGCAATTGATACAATAATTGGCTGCCCGTATTACATCTTGAGAATGAACTCTCAAAGATTGATGTTCACGAATGAGATAAATGCCCGATGGATTGAGCTAATTTGACATCGAATCCTTAACCTACCCAACCTTCGGCTTTGCTCCCGATCCCATTCATCCTCGGGCCACACGGCCGGTCTCCATCACCCCGCTTCGTGGGAGCCCGACCGAACACGGCAATCACTGAACGAAAAGCTCCGAAACCACCACCGATGAGGATGGATCGGAGAAGATCATATAATTCCCCTCCTCAATTTGCGATGTAGTAACTGCCCGTTCCAAGATCTCCTGCATTGGAATTGCCTGTCAATCACCTTGGCGTAGCATCAACCCCTCTCAAAGTAACGCAGACTTTCTTATCGTGGTGCATCTCCGACGTGACCTTCGGAACCGGGATTGTGCGTACCCCACAAGTGTCTCTGGCGCCATACCGGCCATGAATGATAAAAGCATTCCAACGCTCATATCTACTGGCTTGGGCCAGGCCAAGCCAGACCTACCTCGTGGCACCGAGCTTCGAGGCATCAATCGTCAACAGCTACTTCGCAACTTCATGTGAAAACCACTCATAATGAAGCCCATCTCATCGGCAGCTCTCACCTGCGCCCTCGCCTCAACGGCCTGGGCCGCATCCTATACCGAATCCCTCCTCGGCCTACACAAGACCCTCGTCGAAGCCGACTCGACGACCAAATCCGAAGCCCTCGGAACACAAGCTCTCAAAGGCTACCTCGAGACGAACTTTACAGTCGAGCTCCAAACAGTCGAAGGAACCCGCCAAAACGTCTTTGCCTATCCCGGCACCGCCCGCGAAGCTCGCGTCCTCGTCACATCGCACTTTGACACAGTGCCGCCTTACATCCCTTACTCCCGCTCCGGCGATGAGATCCGTGGTCGTGGGACTTCTGATGCGAAAGGAAGTGTTGCAGCGCAGGTTATCGCTGTGGAGGAGCTTCTCGCGAGCGGGGAGATTGCCGAGGGGGACGTCGCGCTGTTATATGTCGTTGGTGAGGAATCTGGAGGCGATGGTATGGGAGCCGCAAATGAGCTGGGCTTAACGTGGGAATCCGTCATCTTTGGCGAGCCCACGGAAAATACCCTCGTCCGGGCGCACAAGGGCGTGCTGGGGTTCAATATCACAGCCGACGGCGTCGCAGGCCATTCTGGGTATCCCGAGTACGGTCGGAGCGCGATCGACCTGCTCGTGCGCGCCTTGGATAAGATTCAAGACACGAAGCTGCCGTGGACGGAAGAGTTTGGGAACACCACGTTGAATGTGGGCTTGATTGAGGGCGGGGTCGCCACGAATGTGATTCCGGAGAGCGCATCGGGGAGGGCGTCGATTCGGGCTGCGACGGAGGATTTACAGGGGATTCAGGATGTGCTGCAAAAGGCTGTGTCGGAGGTGACGCCGGAGTATGTCAATTTGACGTTTACTGGGTTTGGTTTGCCCGTGAGTCTGGACTACGATGTTGAAGGTATGTTGTTTGTCTGATTGTTTGACTGGAACGGCCTCGACTGACACAAGCAGGCTTCAACACTACTGTGGTGAACTATTACACGGATGTGCCACGCCTGAATGGAACCCATAAGCGTTACTTATACGGACCTGGGACTATTTTAGTGGCTCACTCGGCTGACGAGCGCATCACTGTTCAGGATCTCGAGCTTGCTGTGGAGGACTACAAGAAGCTCATCCTCGCTTCCTTGAAGTGAAGGGTTCTCGATTCCCTCTAATACTATGTCAATGATATGCCTTGATCGGATTCAAGCTCAATGGCCGGCTTTATCATCAATGCCCTTTCTGTACATCGCCTGACTCGTCTCGCACCCTGTAATGACCCTTTTGTGCCCAGGTTGTCCGTAGGTGGTGGAAGTTGCGTCGATTTTACCATGAGATGAATTCATGTGTAAGGATTTGAGTCAGGACTGGAATCTTGGAGCTCAACATTCGCTTGGGCCTCATTGGTATGAGTGAGATGAGACAAGGAATCATGAGCGAGTGAGTGAGTGGGAGCTCAGTGAGTGAAAGATACGTACCGTCTACCCCTCACGGATGGTCCGTGCCGAACCTGACGTCAGCCGTCTGGGCGGTCGCGACCCCGCCATGGCGATGGCGTCACACGTGACAGCTCAGCTGGAGCTCAGCTCAGCTCCCTCCGGCTGCCTCACCACCGCCAGCAACAGCGGGACCGGCCGCCGACCATCCACCAAGCTAGCACCATTCGAGAGCTCAACGGTCACCTTTATTGTGCCTGTCTCTCCTCCTCAAGCTAGCCCATCCACCCCCAAATCCCCCAACCCTTACCACCGCAACAATGTCCAACTCTCGTGGCCTCCCCGATGTCTTGATGACAAAGGTCGACGAGTATGTTGACTCTCTTGCTCCACAGATTCAACCCCGCATCGCGTCTGAGATCGACACCTTCCAGACGAGAACCATCGATAGTCTTGAAGACCAGGTTGTTGACGCCTTTCGTTCACTCTTTAACAAGGACAAGAACTCAGGCGATGGCTCGAGAGGACTGAACGACACACCACCTGACGCCTACGGCATTCAGTCTCTGCCCTTCGCAGATGAGATTGGCAAGCTCACTCGCAGCTTCAGCGTCATCACAGACGAGGCAGGCGATGATCTCCGCGACATCTTCAACCTCACCGATGAGGCCCGTGGAGGAGGAGGCGGCGGCCCTGAGACCCAATCCCGAGGCATCAGCCACAGCGACTCATTCGGCGGGGCAAAGGGCTTCCTCTCCTCCGCCATCAACGTCGTCCAAGACCACCTGGAAAAGAACAAGGGCTCAGGTGGCGGCGGGCAGGGCTTCGAACTCGACGGCCTCCTCGGAGTCCTCAGCAACACCGTCAAGGACGCCGCGCGGAACCCCGAGGAGAAGGCCCGCGTCATCAGTCCCGAGATCAAGGAGAAGGTCGGCACGAAACTGAGGGAGCAACATGCACCCATTGCGGAACAGTTTACCAAGATTGCTCTGGAGCATATCAAGCGATGGCTTCGCGGCAATACGAGCACGCGGGACCTCGGCGACGGTGTCAAGGGCGAGATTGAGGACCAGGTCAAGGATCTGGTCAAGGGACTTGGGGGCCTGTTTGGAAACAAGAAGAGTTCGCAGGAGGGTAGTCGGGGCATTGGTGACCGTGATGGCCCCGAGGGTGAAGGCGAGAGGGGCGGCTTCTCGAAGGTTATCAGCGACAAGCTCAGCACGGGTCTGGCAAAGGTGCACAGGGAAGTCCGTCTTGAGTTCCGCAAGATTCTCGGTGCCATCGAGAAGCAGCTCTTTGAGCTCCTGCCAGACGCCTTTCAGCGACCTCTGGAGAAGATTCTCGGAGGAAACCCCTTTGACTCTCAACTCGACCGCGACGCTGGCGGACACGCGGACCGCGGCTTCGGGGACGACATCAAGGTGAAGCTGGTCAACAAGATCCGAGCCCTGGTGCGGAAGGTGCAGGAGACGCTGCGCGAGAGCATTCTGGGCGTCGTCAATGGTGGCCACCGCAAGTTCGAGCGTGAGAGCTGGGTGTTTGTCCAGAACATTGTCGAGCAAAAGGTGCAAAAGTACCTTCCCAAGGTCAAGATCAACGTGCCGGATGATATCGGAAACGAGAATGTCAGCGTCGGTGCGCCGACGGCGGGATCTCAGCTTGGTGGTGAGCACCACTCGGGCCAGTCCCAGGGTGGCAACTACGCGCCGCCTCCATCGCTGCAGTATGGTGGACAGAGCTCGCATCAGCAGTCGTACAACCCTCCTCCGAGCCAGGAGTACCGACCTGAGCAACATCAGCAGCAGCAGCATCAATCACATCAGGAATACCGACCTGATCAGAACCAGCCGCCATCCTCGTACCAGCAGTACCACTCGGATCAGTACCAGGGTCAAAGTCAGAACCAGAACTACGGCCAAAGTCAGAACTACAACCAAAATTACAACCAGAACCAGGGCCAAGGTTACGGACAAGGGCAGGGTCAGAATTATGGAGGAAACCAGGGATACGGGGGTAACCAGAGCTACGGGGGTAATCAAGGCCATGAGAGTGGCCAAGGCTATGGCGGAAATCAGGGCTATCAACAGAACCAGGGATATGGCGAGAACCCGCGTTACTAGAAAATGAGGAAGCATCAAGCAAAGTAAGGCACAGCGGCATATAAGGAAATTTGCATCTGGAATCGGGGAAAGGATATCATTGAGACCGGGTTGAGAGCAGCTGACAAATTACGAAAAGAACCCAACAAATTCCATACCGGTGACCTATTCCCCGTCACCTCTCGCCATCTTCAGCGCCTCGTCCATCTTCTTCTCAAGTTGAATCCCAACAAGCACATCCAGCATCCTCACAAACTTCCCCCGATCCCCCTCAACCACATCCGCCAACTCTTTCGCACCGTCACCCTCCTGAATGACTCCAAACTTGACAGCAGCTTCAAGAGCTCTCTGATCAGCATACGGAAACACCTCCTCCCATTCCTCCTGTACTCTCCTCAAAAAGATCCCAGCGCCAGTCGGTCCAACGCCTTTAATCCCATCAGTCAACACCTTCTCAACCTTCCTCTGCGCCTCCTCTGTCTTCATCCCCTTGACCATCTCCCTCAACGCAGTCATCTTCTCAACATCTCCCTCGTCTTCCTTCCCCTCACCGCCATCACCATCCCCACCGCAAATCTTCCTCACCCCTTCAACTAAATCCCCCAACTGCACAGCAGTCTTCTCCTTATGCTGCGTCCTCGCCTCCCACATCACCTTCCTCCGCCCCTCAAACCCAGCTTCGTCGAGATCCCGCGGCGTGCGCAGGCCAAAAGGCGGGTTGAGCAGCGTGTTGATGGTGCGGAGGCCGAGGCGGTGGGAGATGGGTTTGCTTAGGAGGAGGGCGGCGACGAGGTTTTGGAAGGGGGTTAGGGTGGAGTCTGGGTAGGTTAGGCGGGGTCCTTTGTCATCGCTTTCATCATCGTCGTTCTTATCATTGCCGTTCTTCTTTGATGCCTTTGAGGTATTGGTCTTCTTCCCGGCGGAGTCGGGGGGAGGGTCTTTGCGATGTTGGCCTTCGTCCCAGTCAATTTCGCCGTGGCCTTGTGGGAGGGAGGGGAAGGCGAGGGAGAAGGCTTCGTCGCTTAGGAGCCAGTCTACAGTTGCTTTTGGATCCTCCGTCTTGGGCTTTTTGGTGTCGGGTTCATCATCCTGGTTATGGGTGGGCGGCGATGCTTCTGAGACTTTGCGCTTCGTGCCAGCGTCGGCGGCTTCGTTATCAGAGTTGCTGGATGCAGGCTCTCTTCGCGAGGTCATTGTGATATTGTCTTTGAATCACGAAGTGAATTGCTGATAGTATTGGCACAGTGTTTGAAACATGATCACATAATTGACTTCAAGATATGGTACTGGTGAGGATGGCGTCGACTTTTGAGCTGTCGTTGAAGGCTGGATCGTGGATGATGTCATGACTTTCGTGGCCGACGCCAAAGCGCGTCACTGCGCGTCGACGGACTGTTCATTGTTTTTTCTTTCTTTTTTGTTTGAATGCAAATGATGAAGCGGAGGTGATCATCAATGGCAAATGAATTCGACAAACATGAGAGCCAAGATCGATGCTACTTTAGGGGGGGTGTCTAGGGTGCACAAGTTCTCCATGCGCAGTCACTTCATCCACCAGTGAGACACGACGTTCTCTACGAAAGTAATCATGATGGATCAACTACTTTTGGAAGGTAGATCATCACTTTCACGAACCGATCCAATGCAAGAGTCTGATAAAACATCTTGCTTGAATAGTACCTCATGTAAGGCACCGCCATTCTGTACTATCTAGCCTTGAGTAGTCCCCAGGACCATATGTCGCAACCACGCAGCTAGATAGGAGCCATGCAAGCCAAAAGAAAGGGTATCATCAATCCAGAGAAGAAAGAGCAGTGGTCCATCCATTCCTCCTGCCGAATGCAACGAATAAACTGAAGTTCCCAACATCCTTGTGACCATCTCATTTCTGCTCGGCAGCCTCCTCCTTGGCGCCATCGGTATCACCAGTCTCTTCCTTAACAGCACCATCACCACCCTCGTTCATCTCCTCATTATCGACATTCTTCTCAGTAGCGGCTTCAGCAGCTTCAGCAGCAGAAGCCGAAGCCGCAGCCTCCTCCGCAGCCTTCTGCGCCTTGCTCTTGCGGCCGCGCTTCTTGGTAGGCGTGCCTTCCTCCTCAGCGCCCTCCTCGACTTCGGCAATCTTCTTCTTGCGCGGGGTGGCAGTCTTCTTGGGCCGGGGTGTAGAGACAGAACCAGAACCGTCCTCGGTGCTGTTGCTGCTGCCGCTGCCGGCGAACCAGCCGTGCTTGGTGGCGGCGCGGGTGAGGAGGGTGCGGGCGCTGGAGGCGCTGGAGAGGCCGGCCTCCTCGGCCATCTTCTCGAGGACGGCGGTGGTGGGACGGTCGACGTGCTTCATCATTGCGAGGGCGAGCTTGAGTTCGCCGTCGGTGAGGTTGAGGGTGGCGGCGGCCTCGGATGCGGCGGTCTTGGGAGGCATTTTTTGTTGCTCTTGCGAGTTTCTGGTGAAATATGGTGAGTGGATGGGTGGCGGTGATGAGAGTGAATGAAACGCGGATGGGTGAGTGAGAAAAAGGTGGGTGAGGTGAGGATTGATTGAGGAGATGAGACTGCCGTGATACTCACTGCGAGAGGTAGATGTGAGTTGTCAAAGTAAGGTAAGTATCAGATACGTGG